CATGATGCCCTCTGCTCCCAGCCTGCTCCGTGGCTCCTCCACCACCTCCCACAGCTCAGAGGCCTGCCATCCAGGACAGAGATGTAGGAAAGCAGCTGGGAAGGTGACCAAATCTGGCCCCCACTTTTGGGCCAAGTTCTATCCCCCTACTGCCTGCTTCCCCACCCTCAGACCTGCTGGGCACTGCTTGGCTTTGCAGACTGAGTGCTCTCGGCCAAGGAGTTAGGGACCCTCTCTTGGAAGTCCATGGAGAAGGGAGTGGCCACTCCCTGCCGAGAAGGTAGAACGGGGTGGAAGGAGAAGGATGTCACCTTGTCCTGAGGGGACCCTTGAAGCAAGAGAGAGATGCCATGAGCACAAACCCTGCTCTCACCTTCCCCACCTCCCACCCCTCCTGCATCGTCTGAGATAAGAGCTCACCCGCATCTGCTCACCTGCCAGGCCTCTCCGAGTTTGTCCCTTCCCCACCCTGGGCCGGTTTCCCTGCCCACACCCTCCAGCCGCGGCCACTGCTCAGAGAGGTGAACTAGCTGAACTAGCACGCAGCCCACAGGCCGGTGCCAAGAGTCCGCCCAGCCCCACCTTGGGCCCACACTCTCAGGCTCTAGGAAACACTCAGTGCTTTCTCTGGAGGATTCCCTGGGGGTGATCAGAGATGAGGCATGGGAGTGAAAAAAGAGACTCTAAAAAAGGACAGAGGAATTCAGAAAATGGACAAGCAAGATCTCAATCCAGCTTCTCTTCCTTTAGGACCCCTGGACATCCCTCCACCCTGCTGCCATCATGGGCTGTAGACGCCTCTGCCACGATGCCTCTGCAGAGTGCTCCTAACCCCTTCATCCCAACTCCCCACCAATCGGTCTCCAGATCCTCTATCTTCTGCATGGGGAAACTGAGGCCTGAAACAGCCCTCTCCCCATTGTTCCCTGTGCCTCTACCCTAGGATGCCCACCTGAGACCCTCAGACCCCCGCCGAAGCCTCCCTTCTATCATCCCAGTCCTTGGGGCTCCTGATAAGTACCCACCCAGAGAGAGCAGGGGACTGGGCCCATGGAGGCACCGTGTGCAGGAGAAGAGGTGGCCAAGAACATGCCACTGTCCACACAGGTCCCGCAGCAGTGCCCACAGGCACCCTTGGCACCAGCCCTGGCTGCCCTGGCTCCACGGGGAGATCAATAATGCATGAGGCTCTGAGTGTGTGAGACAGGGAAGGGACTGGAGGGGCGAGGCTGGCCCGAGGCTGGGCAAACAGCTCAGATCTTCCCATGGAGCCAGCAAGCACCTGAGGAGCCGAGGCCAGGAAGGGACAGGGACGCGGTGGGGTCGTGGTGGCCAAGAGGTCGGGACGGAGGGGCCCGGAGTGCAAGAGGCTAACCCAGGGTGGGGGGGCGGGTAAAAACTCCTGCATCTGGCCATTGAAAGTTCCCAAACTCTTCCGGTGTTTGGGTACCTCTGTGCCCTTTTCCTGGCCCCGGATGCTCCTGGCCCCTCACTGCTGGCGCCTGGAGGTGGAGGCTCTGCCAGGAGGTGGTACGGGGTCGAGGTGAGCCACGTTGGTGCCCCATCTCCACTTCCATTCCCACCCCCATCTCCGGAGGGGCAGACCCGCCAGCTTCAGGTGGGAGGAAGCCTGCCCGGGGGGTGTCAGCTGATGCCAGCGTGGTCCCCTTACCCCAGGGTCCATGGATGCCCGTGCTCCTTGGCCCGCGCACCGCTCTGCCTCTGAGTCACTGTCTCCGAGTGGCCCGCTCCCTCCTCACGGAGCTGAGCAGTGGCAGCAGCTGCTGCAGGAACCAGGAAGGAAGGAGACGTCGGAGCCTCCCCTCCAGCCGGATCTCCCCACCTCCCCCCCCTCCCCGGCCCCTCCTCCCGCCAAGCTCCGGGCGGCCGCTCAGCTCTGCCCCCCTGCTCCCGGGAGGACTCAGGGCTGAGCGGACTCCCCAGCACCGAGGTAGCTTGGGAGTGGGGGCAGAGCCCCCACTGGGCGCAGTTCCAGACAGATCATGGAGGACTGGGGAGCTGCTGGCCTCAAGCCAGTGGTGGTAAAGGGTTTACTCGGACTAGCATGGCCTTGACCCCAGTGAGTACCCAAGGCCATTTCCTTATTAACCGCCCCCTCTCGTTTTACATCTGCAAATAGATTGCAAAATTTGGAGCCAGCAAAGGAATCAGGTTGACGGGAAGGGACGGATGCCCCTGGGGGACCACAACAGACAGTGCCAACAGCACGGTCAGCAGGGCGGCCACCGCTGGGGAGGGACAGGCAGCGGCCCCCACCGAGGCTGTCATTGCGGGTGATGCCCCACCAGGGCGGGACCCAAGGGGCCGGAGGCAGGAGGCACCCGTGTGTAACACAAAACCCCCAGCTTGCAGTCTCTGGATCAGGAGCAGGTCTGCAGCAGTGACCAGGTGGCTGTTAGGGCTAGCTGGAGCCAACTCAGGTATCCCCGGCCTCCCTTTCTGAGCACCTCTTCTGCCAGAGTACTGTGTTCAGCTCAGTACTTGATTTCTAATTAAAAATCAACTCTTAAGGTCTAAACATGTAACACCTGGGTGGCCCAGTCGGTTAAGCATCCAACTCTTGATTTTTGGCTCAGGGTCTTGAAATTGAGCCCTGCGTAGGGCTCTGCCCGCTCAGCACAGAATCTGCTTGAGATTCTCTCTCTCCCCCTGTTCCTTCCCCCGTTCGGGCGCATGTGCTCTCTTAATAAATAAAATCTTTAAAAAAAAAAAAAGTCTAGGGGTGCCTGGGTGGCTCAGTCGTTAAGTGTCTGCCTTCGGCTCAGGTCATGATCCCAGGGTCCTGGGATCGAGCCCCACATCGGGCTCCCTGCTCAGCGGGAAGCCTGTTTCTCCCTCTCCCACTCCCCCTGCTTGTGTTCCTGCTCTCGCTCGCTCTCTCTGTCAAATAAATAAATTAAAAAAAAAAAAGATTAAAAAAAAAGTCTAAACCTCATTAAAATGAATGCAAGATGGACAGACAGCTTTAAGGACAGTGAAGCTGCTTTCTGGAAAGTGAGTTTTAATGGTGGGGCCTCAGGCATCGCCAGCAGGTGAAGGATGCAGTGCAGGATTCTTTGATCCAGAAAGGATGTGGGCCACCTCCCCCACCCAGGCCTTGGTTTACCCTACAGGATCTTACACATCCTTTGGGAGATGCCTGTTCTCTTGTCCATTCAGAACCTCAGCACGGCTCCTGCTGCCCCAGGAGGGCGTTGTTGGCACCCGGCAGGGTTCTGGGAGTCAGGGAGGGCACTGAGCAGCACTGGCAAGACCAGCTCTGACATCCACGAGCCTTAGGGGCCTTTTAATTCACTTCCTATTGATCAAGCATCCCTGGGGCATATGGCACCGACCTGGGCACTGTGGGAAATCGGTCCTGGACCAGGCCACAGAAAAGCTGCAGATCGTCACTGCTAGAGTGGTGTCTGTCCAGGACTAAGGAAGCTGTTGCACTGCCCCAGGTCTGGGAGGAAAGTTCGACAGCCACCTTCCCTGCTCCAGTCAAGGACAAGGGCAGGCTTCCAGTTAAACATTCTCTCTCCTTCATTAGGAACTTCTGGTTCTCCAAGATTGGGATGAGGCCTCCCACTCAAGAGCCTCCAGGCCCCCTCATTAATACAGAATTCTGGTTTGGCCCAGCTCTTGCTCAGAATCACCTGGGACACGTTAGCTACCGGGCAAAGTTGGCAGCTGCCTTCAAAAGGACAAACATGTAAGAGATGCCATTTGTGGGACTGGCCCAGGGAGGTAAGAGGCCTGGACACGGAAAGAGGAAGGATTTTCTAGGAGGGGAAGTGAGAATCAGAGGCAGCCCTGAGAATAAGTCTACACGGAGGATAAGCTCGCAAACAGCAAAACCGAGGAAATAAAATGCATTTCGTTTTATCAACAAGCAGTGCTCCCAACCTTTCCATAACGTGACACACCCTGAGGGTGGAGAATTAACGTTCAGACACACCCCAGACCCTAATGAGGAAGCTTGAGGGCAGAAATCCAGGGCATGGTCTTCAGAGCAGAGAGCCTGGTTCAAGCACCTGTTGGGTCTCTTATTAGCTGCATGACCTTGGGCAGACTCCTGAACTTCTCTGTGAAATGACGAATGTTAGGGTGACACGGCGAGAGGAATGGAGGTGTGTCAAGTGGTGAGCACAGAGCCTGGCTCTCAACAGATGCCATTCTCAGCACAAGTACCGAGGGGGACTACTGCAGCACGGCGGGCCCACAAGGGGGTAGGCCGGGAGACACGTGCGGCAAGGGACAGGGGACATGGAGGCAGAGGGCAACCTCCTCATCTGGTCAGCTTCTCTGCCCTGGACCCGGAGAGCCAAAAGCCTGCTCCTGTTAGGTCCCAGGGTGGGAACACTAGGGACAAAGACAGCAATTCAGAGCCTCCATTCGGAAATGGGGTGTCTCTTCATCCCTGGGTGGCCCCGTATCTGAGGAAGTCGGGGTCAGTGAAGTCAGGTCACGAACGCCACTCCCCACCCCAAGTGCTTCCACATTTCTGATTGATGGATGAGGGCGCAGCCAACAGGGGTAGAGTGTGTTTACGGGCAGGCTAGGTACAACAGGCTGGCTAGGAGTTCGGAACAGAGTCAGGAGAAGCAGGCTGCCCGCTGGCTGGCGCGATGGAGTGCCCCTCCTGTTGCTGTCTGATGTACTGGTCCAGCAGGGCCGTCAGCTGGAAGGGCTGGTGCTGAAGCAAGAGGTGGGTCTGGGCCATGTGGAAGGTGAGTCCTCCTACCAGCTCTCCGTGCACCATGGCCAGGCTGGGAAGCTGGGAGTAGCTGATGAAGCCCTGCCTGCTGAGGATGGTGCCGTCGATGCAGCCACCTGGAGGAACACAGGCTCAGCGGGGCCCCCGCAAATGCCTCTCTCCGCTGAAACCAACGGTCCAGCTCAAGGTTCCAACGCACGCTCTGCCACCCTCCTCCACCTCCCGGCCTTCCCCCAAATCTGGCTCCCACACCTGTCCCACCCAGCTCCCCCTCAGTTTGGGACTGATCCCCTCCCTTCCTTCCTAACTCTTCCCTAGAAAACACTCACATAAGACATCCACCTGGCCCACCCCCAACTAAGTCATGGTTTCCTAAACCTTCTTAACCGCAGAGGGGCGCCTGGGTGGCTCAATTAGTTGAGCATCTGCCTTCGGCTCAGGTCATGATCCCAGGGGCCTGGGATCGAGCCCCACATTGGGCTCCCTGCTCAGCGGGGAGCCTGCCTCTCCCTCTCCCTCTCGCTCCCACTTGTCTCTCTCTAATAAATAAATAAAATCTTAAAAAAAAAAGAAAGAACCACAGAGCGTGTGTGTGTAGTGGGGTAGCTATGAAACCAGTCTTCTCTAGAAGAATCATCTCCTGGGATCCCCAGCATTAGGGGAGTCTGGGAAACATTGCTCACTGCCCCTCAGTGCCCTTCCCCTGGGCTGTTTAAGTATCTCTGTCTGTGTGGCTTTCTGCACCCCACTGCTAGACTCAAGGTGTCTGAACTTCCTCTCCCTGCAGAGCCCTCTCTCTGCTTTCCCTCCTCTCCACCCCCCCCGCCCCGCCCCTGCAGAAATGACACAGGACTGGGGCGCCTGGGTGGCTCAGGTGGTTAAGCATCCGACTCTTGGTGTTGGCTCAGGTCATGATCTCAGGGCTGTGAGATCCAGCCCCGCATGGGGCTCCCCGCTCAGCGCAGAGTCTGCTTCTCTCCTTCCCCCTCTCCCTCTGCCCCTGCCCCTCACCCCGCCCCCCTGCCTGAGCTCTCTTTCTCCCTAAAATAAATAAATCTAAAAAAGAAGGAAGGGAGTCAGGGAGAGAGGGGGAGGGAGGGAGGAAGGAAGTGAGGGAGGAAGTGAGGGAGGGAGAGAGGGAGGGAGAGAGAGAGGGAGGGAGGGAGGACAGACGCAGGGCAGTGAGAGCCAACACAGGTTCTGGAGGGACACAGGCAGCCCTCAACAAATGGTGCTACTGGGGCGCCTGGGTGGCTCAGTCGTTAAGTGTCTGCCTTCGGCTCAGATCATGGTCCCAGGGTCCTGGGATCGAGCCCCGCATCGGGTTCCCTGCTCAGCGGGGAGCTTGCTTCTCCCTCTCCCACTCCCCCTGCTTGACTTCCCTCTCTCGCTGTGTCTCTCTGTCAAAAAAATAAATACAATCTTTAAAAAAACACCAAAGAACAAATGGTGCTACTGACTCAGGCCCCATCCATGAGAGGATGTCCCCCGCAAGGAGGTCCACAGTTTTACCCACATGTACTTAGCAGATGGCACCAGGCTGCAGTAGCACTCACTCCCCTTCACCCCCATCCTCAACCCGCAGGGTGCTTGCTCACCGAGCAGTGGCAGGAAAGGCACACCCTTTAAGACTCGCACCATCTCCTTGACCTTGGGCTCCTCGCTGACCAGCAGGAAGTTGTGGCCCACAAAGAGGGGCAGCAGGTTTTGGTACTTGGAATCCTCTAGGAAGGGCTTCAGAACCTGGAACAGCAGGAAAGAGGGCTTCCTGGGGACAAGTGGGAGGAAGGGCTGCCCACCCTGATCACAGGCCAAGTCAGGCTGACGGTGCAAGCCGACAGTCTCCTCGGCCCCCAACCACAGCGTAGGCACCAGACTGGAGGGTTGCTTGCGGTGGGAGGGTCGAACACACCCGATCTGGGGAGGGGCCCCCTGTGGTCTGAGTTGGCGGGGGTGGGGGAACAGGGTGCCCGTATCAGAGGGCTGCTCTCTACCTGGTTGGGGAAGATCTTCATCAAGATCTTGTGCTTCCGCAGCCGGTGCCGTATGAGAAGCTTGTCCTCCGCACTCAGAGCCACATTCTGACAGACAGCTATCATTCGGTTCTCTCGGAAAACTGCATCTATCTCCCGACGGAGGAGCCGGATAAGGCCTGTCTCCTGTAGTCAGGAAGGGATGACCAAGGGGACATCAGCTGCCCTTCTCCTTGTCCCCCTTTCTCCCTGGGGGACTGGTGCTGGGGCTCCCAGTGATGCCCAAACATGGGAAACTTCAAGTCCTTTCAAGACAAGAGAGATACTCTCCCCTACCTCCACCTGCTTGGATAACCTTCACACAATTTGGGGGAGACAAAGAAAGAAGGAAATCCAGGAGGCCCGTCTGATCCAGAGCCCAAAATGCCAAGCAGAATCAAGTGCACATTTCATTTTAAAGCAACTGGCCCACAGGGTCAAAGAGGGGAAGTAATGATGTGGAGGGCTGGGTCCTGGGGAGCTACTTCATTATGGCTTCAGAGACAAGATCACTTCAATCCACCATCCCAGCATCAAGGACAGGCAGTGTCCTCCTTACCTCCTGTGGGGGACTGGGAGGACACGGTAGGCATCTCGGGTTGACCACGGGTTTTGGGGGGATATACTCAGTCAGAGCCATCAGCTTCTGCCGCTGGAAATGCATCACACGACGATGGCGGGTAACAGCCTTGGAACCACAACGGACGGTCTGGAGGGTGGGCAGCCGGCCTGGGAGGGGAAATGGCAACACTGTGCTGTGCAGCCTCTGGGAGTCCTTAGTTGGCCTCAGATGGCAAAAAAGCCCACCTCTGGGCGAGACAACCATGGCTCAGAGAGTCTTGTGCTAGACTCAGCACGAGAGTGGGACAAGGAATTGTCTGCTAGGAATCCTAAATCCCCCAAACTCCCCTTCTCTTTAACGGGTGACCCTAAGTCCTTTGAGGCTCCCATTTCTCCAGCTCTTCTATATGCACAGAGATGGGAGAAAAAGATGAGAACAAGGAAGAAAGTATATTTGAACACATTAAAAAGGGGGGAGAGGGTTGAGCAAATTTTTTTTAAAGATTTTATTTATTGGGCGCCTGGGTGGCTCAGTTGGTTAAGCGACTGCCTTCAGCTCAGGTCATGATCCTGGAGTCCCGGGATCTAGTCCCGCATCGGGCTCCCTGCTCGGCAGGGAGTCTGCTTCTCCCTCTGACCCTCCTCCCTCTCATGCTCTCTGCATCTCATTCTCTCTGTCTCAAATAAATAAATAAAATCTTTAAAAAAAAAAAGATTTTATTTATTTATTTGAGAGAGAGTAATGGAGAACGCGAGTGCGGGTGGAGGGGCAGAGGGAGAGAAGGAGACTCCCCGCTGAGCAGGGAGCCTGACACGGGGCTCAATCCCAGGACCCCGGGATCATGACCTGAGCTGAAGGCAGATGCTTAACCCACTGAGCCACCCAGGCGCCCCGCAAATTTTTTTCTTAAATGGCCAAATAGTAAATATTTTAAGTTTGAGAACCGTACAGTCTGTCTACTACTCAACTTGCCATTGTATCATGAAAGCAATCCTAGACAATATGAAACAAGCACATACGGCTGTATTCCAATAAAACTTTATTTATAAAACATAGTGACCAGTCCAGCCACAGTATGCCAAGCCCTGGTCTAAGCCAGTGGTCCTCAGGGTGTGCTCCCCCCACCCAGCCAGCAACATCGGCATCACCTGGGAACTTGTTAGAAACCCAAGTTCTCAGGGCCTGTCCTGGACCTACTGAGTCAGAAGCACTGGAGGGGAGCCCAGCAAACAGTTCTAAGAAGCCCTCCGGGTGTTGCAGGTACACGCTGAAGTCTGAAAACCACTGCTCTAAGCACTGCTCTGAAGCCTTCGCCCATGATTTGAAGAGAGAAAAGAAGATCCACGGCCCTCACAGCTCCTCACAGCTCCCCCAAACAAGCCTCCCTTCCCTCCGTTCTTGTTTACAGGCATCGGTGCAGAGCACCCTCAGAAGACAAGGGAGCCACTTGAAAGCTGTAAGCCTAAGTGACCCCTTCATCTTCAACGAAAGGACCCAGCTAGCACTTCCCACTTTCAGCCCTTCCCAAGATTGGGATGGGGTCTCAGGGAAAAGTTCAGCTAGAAGGTGGCTCTAACAAAGAGCATGGAGGTTTGCTGGGGTAAGAGGTTTTCTTGCCAGCAGCCACAAAACCTAAGTTAAGAACACAGGTTTGGGATCAGATGGAACTGGATTTTTTTTCCTGAGAAAAAGCGGGGGGGAGCGAGAATGACAAGCGGACTCCGCGCTCAGCAGCATTGAGCCCGACGCAGGGCTCAATCTCACGACTCTGAGATCAGGACCGGAGCTAAAACCAAGAGCCGGATGCTTATATCGACTGAGCCACCCAGGCACCCCACAGATGGAACCAGATTTTAATCTCTTCTGCCACTTACTACCTGTGACCTTGACCAGTCACTCAACTGGTCTAAACTTGAATTTCTTCACCTATAAAAGGAGATGATAGGGCGCCTGGGTGGCTCCGATGGTTAAGCATCTGCCTTCGGCTCAGGTCATGATCTCAGGGTCCTGGGATCGAGTCCCGCATTGGGTTCCCTGCTCAGTGCAGAGCCTGCTTCTCCCTCTCCCTCTGCCACTCCCTCTGCTTGTGCTCTTCTGTCTCTCTGTCAAATAAATAAATAAAATCTTTAAAATTAAAAAAAAGGAGATGATAATGACTTCTTCATGACTGCTCTAAGATTTAAATGAGCTAATACATGTCAATCATTTACCACTGTGCCTGGCCTATATTATGTGCGCAAAATCATTCATTAAACAAATGTCTATTGCATGCCTACTAATGCCAGGCACCACGCCACCTGCTGGCTATACTGAACGAACACGGTTCTGCCCTTACGGAGTTTGAAGTCTAATACAGGAGACAACACATAAACCAATGCAAAATTACAGACTGTAAGAGTGAAAGGGGTCCATAAACAACCTGCAGAATACAGATTTAACAGGGGAAACCTGCTTTGCAGAAGGTGGCCAGGGCAGACCTGAGCAGGTGACATTTAGGCTGAGACCGTGGAAAGGTGGCACAGCGCCAAGGTCGGGGCGGGCAGTGGTTCAAGCAAAGGAAACTGGAGGCGACCAAGAGCTGGGTGGTGCATTACAGAAACCCAGAGAAGGAAGGGGGACTCGGGCGGAGGGAAGAAAGACTGTGGTTGTCGCCGACGCTGTTGCTGCACTGCGCCTACTACTAGTGCCTGCAGTCACAGGGAATTTTAGACGGAGGAAGGCGGCCAGCGATCTAGCTGGGGCCAGGGGTCATCGGGAGCTGTCTGGAGTAAGAGATTGCGGGAGAGGATCAGTAGTGGAAGAGGGGAGACAGAACTAGAGAGCACCGGCCGGAACGCGCCGTGAGGACCTGCGCCGCTCCTTACCCGCCTGGGGCAGGAGACTCCCTCGCAGCATCCCAGCCACGGCCGCAGCCATCGCCACCGGAAGAACAGATGGGAGCCGGGAGAGACAGAAGGAGCTAAGGATTGTGGGAAGTCCTGGGGCCGGAAGCAGCCGGCAGATCCGCCGGCTGGAGCACTAATCCGCATGCGCTAAGCCGGGTGCCTGTGAGCCCGCCCTCCCCGACGCCCAACCTGGCGTCCAGTCTCCTAGCAACGACGCTTAGCCTCTTGGGCACAGCTCTTTTCTTTTGATCCGTACCCGCCACTCTCTACCCACAATCCCCGTTTTGCTAGTCCTTTTGCACCCCTCAAACTCCAGAGCCCCCGCCTCGATTTACTTTTGTCTTCTACCCCACCTCATTAATTGGCTCTGAATCAACCACTTTCCCTTGTCCTTCGAGTCTCCGAGCGTCTCTCTCCTCATACCATCCTGGGTTCCGCCATACCCGGGACTGTCCAAGTTGGTCTGCTTCCCTTCGTTCTAATCCCATGCCAGGCCAGTAACCTTTAAATCATGCCCGGAGGTGAGTAGGGGATGGGGTGGTGAGTAGAACAGTTGGATAACAGTAGGGTCAGGCTTCAAGAATAAGAAATGTAACAACCGGACTCATCTTTTCACAGCTAAGTCTGCCCAGAGTCCAGAGGAAGGGGGAGTGTGTATTACTGAAGCCCTTATCACTAAGCGGAACTTGGCCTTCCCTGAGGATGAGGATCTGTCAGAGAAGATGTGAGTGCCAGGGGGGAGAAAAGGGGTGCTGGACGATTGAAACACACAGGATGACCGGTCCCCTGAGCTGTACTGGTTTGTCAACTCATCTTTGTCCCTCTTTTTACTTACTCCATGCATTCAATCAGTGGTCATGTCCAATTGATTTTGCCTCCTTAAACATTATTCTATTTCTTTTTTACCATGCCCACTCAACTGCCTTAAATAAGGCTCTTAAGCCATCACCTCTCTACAAACTCCTAATTAGTCTCCATGCCCCCAGTCCTGGATCCCCGTACCGTTGCCAAAGTGATCCTTTTAAATGATAGATCTGATCAGGCACACCCTGATAGAACCTTCCTTGGCTCTCTCGTACTTCCAGAATAAAATCCAAATGCCTTAGTGTGAGTTGACTTCTGATACCTTTTCAGCCTTATTTCTTGCTGTTCACAATTCCTCTAAGACCCCACGTTTTCACACCTTAGCACCTTGCCTCTCAGATTGGTGCTGAGCAGCATCACCTGGGAGGTTGTTAGTAATGAAGACAGGCCCATCCCAGACCTACTTAACCAGAATCTGCATTTTAACAAGAGCCCCCAAGGGACTCCTGGGCATATTAAAGTTGGAGAAAGCCTGGATTAGCACATACTGTTCCTTCTTTTTGACATGCCTTCTCCTCATCCCCTTCTCACCTTCCCAGCCAACTTCTACTTATATGTCACCTCCTTCAAGAAGCATTCCCTGTCCCCTGATTCACGACTGAGTGCACAGTTCAGGCACTCCTTTAGTCCCTTGTACTCGTATCTGTCATCCACTTGTCATAGATGTTTGGCCTGCTTCCCTAATAGTGATGAGCAGGGACTCTCATTTGTCTCTAGGGGGCAGTAAATGTGAACAGAACAAGTGCTTTTCCTTCCATGGACCACCCAAAAGGGAAGTGAGGAAGGATCCTCCTGCAGAGATTGTCTCATCTCTGCCCCGGCCCCTGCTTCCACCATCCATGCTGGCCCAAGGAAGTCTTCCCTTGCCTCAGAGTCTCTCTAGGAACCATAAGCTGCTATCACCCATTTCCCAGTCCAAGGGCCCTCTACTCCTCTCACCCTCTGATCCTTCCCAGTGCTACTGACCAAGATCCAGGGCTCCCAACCAACCAGGTTTCATGATTTGGACACCGCCTCATGAGTCAAGAAGTTGTTCGACATCTCATCAAAGGCACTTTGCTTGAAACACCTTTCCTCCCCCCTCCCATCTTCCCTGCTGAGACACCGCAGAAGTGGTGCTCCCTTATAACACCTGCTGACCGTTCTTCCAGGTTTCACACTCTGGCTGAACTGCAGACTGTCCGCCTGGACCGGGAGGGGATTACCACTATCGGGAACCTTGAGGGCCTCCAGAACCTTCACAGCCTTTATCTGCAAGCGGTAACTTCTTGCCTCCTGCCCTTCCTCCCCCTTCACCCTCTGTGGACAGAGTCTGTTTAATCCAAAAGCAACCAATCAGGTCATCTTACCCATTTTCTGGCGTTCAGGTAGGCAGACCTTCATTGAAACTGTTCCCAGATGGGGTTCCTGGCTGGCTTATCTGTGGAGCATGCAACTCTAGATCTCAGGGTTCTAAGTTCAAGCCCCACATTAGGTGTAGAAATTATTTAAAAGTAAAATCAGAAAGGAAGGAAGGAAGGAAAGAGAGAAAAAGAAAGAGAAAGAAAGAAAGAGAGAGGGAAGGGAGGGAGGGAGGAAGGAAGGAAGGAAGGAAGGAAGGAAGGAAGGAAGGAAGGAAGGAAGGAAGGAAGGAACTGTTCCTAGATGAATCAGGAATTCTGTTCACTTGAAAGACCAATCCTCCCAAAAGAGATCCTGAGCATGCTCTTGAATCACTGTTTTTTGTCAGACACTTCTCTTGGCCTCAAAGTTCTTTTTGGTGTCTACCTTAAATCTCTCATGTTATATATACCTCGAGCCCATTTCCTGTTTTGAAGAAGTAGAAGAGGGAACCAGAAGATTCCTCTGCATCCTTCAGAACCTTGAAGGCTGTTTGTTGTTGTTGGTGGTGGTGGTGGTGGTTGACTGGCTGATATTCAGTCTCCTCCAGTTTGAATATACCCAGCTCCTTTAATCTTTCCCCATAGAAACTTTACAAATCAAAGTAATGTATATTCATTACTCCTGTGTGTACCTAAGCCACCACCAAGGCTTTTGCTATTTCCCCATGGCCCCTTGGTTTCCTTCTTATTTCCAGGCCCCTCTTTGGTTGTGGGGTGAGCAGGGGGTATACTTTAATGAAGCGTAGTCAGCCCCCAAGTTGACACCCTTCACCATCCACCCAGAGAAAGCAAATCATCCCCAGGTACTGAGAACCAGTTCAGGGAGCAGGGTTGGGGGGCTGTCATTCCCAAAGTGCCAGCTCTCTGGCTGGGCCAGGAGACGTGGTCTACCCAGCTTCCCCAACTCATTTGCTTTCTGCAGAATAAGATCCAGCGGATTGAGAACCTGGCCTGCGTCCCCTCCTTGCGGTACGTGGTGTCAGGGTTCAGGCCCGCGGGAGGGGGGAGAGAGGGAGACCCGGTCACGCCCCAGAGAACTGGTGCAGACCTCTCCAAGCCTAATGTCTTGTCCGCTGAGGACCCAGCAAGCCCTGCTCTGCTTCCCCCACCCCAGGGGGCCATGGGTCCCCACTCATCATCGGGCTGCTTAGCCAGGGGCGCCGGGCGCCTGGTGCCCTCCTCCCTTCCTCCAGTGGTTCTGTGATTCAGCTCTGTCTCTGCACCCCTCCCTTCCCCCCGCAGCTTCCTGTCTCTGGCAGGAAACCAAATCAAGCAGGTGGAAAACCTCCGTGACCTCCCACATCTCCAGTTTCTGGACCTTTCTGAGAACCTGATAGAAACCCTGAAGCTGGGTAGGAAGGGCCTGGCCTCAGCTCATGGGATAAGCCTCGTGTTGGGGGCCCCCCCTCCTCTCTGCCACCATCTCCCTATGCTTGCATTAGCAGCAACTCTAATTCTCCCTAAACGGTAGCCCCATATTGTGCCTCTGGGGGGTCTGGGGAGGCTGTACAAAGAGGCAGTGGCTTTGGGCCAGAAGAAGGCTATGACACCCTCCTTCCCCTCTCCCTGGTGCATGCAGATGAGTTCCCCCAGAGCATTCTCATCCTCAACCTGACTGGAAATAGCTGCACCAACCAGGACAGGTACAGGTGAGAAGGACCTGAGGGCGGGAAGAAATGGGGGATGGCCGAGCTCCTCCTCCCTCCACGTGGGCTCCCTCTCAGCCTGCAGACCTGGGGTCACCATCCATGGCACCTTCTCCTCTGCCACCCCAGCTCAAGTGGGACGCCTTTTCTCTCCCACCCCGAGGTCCACACGGAGCCAGCCCTTAGCTCTTTGGGGCTGACCGCAGGCCCATCTCCCTGCCTGCGAACACCCACCCCTCTCGATGCGGTTGCTGCAGCTTGTGTCTGGCTCCCCCAGGCTCCCCACCCATGGGTGCTCTCCTGGGGGGCCTCTGCTCTTCCCGCCCTGCAGAGAGCTGGTGACAGAAGCCCTGCCGCTGCTCCTGGACCTGGACAAGCAGCCCGTGTTAGAGCGCTGGACCTCGGATGAGGAGGAGAAAGCCTCGGGCGATGAGGAGGAGGAGGAGTTCCCGGAGCTGAGTGGCCCGTTCTGCACAGAGCGAGGTGGCCCTGCTTTCCAAGGCTCGCACCCTTCCTAGAACTCCCCTCTGTCCCGTGGGGCACGGGGGAAGCTAAGATGGCAGTGGTGGCTAGGGAGGCAGCCCCAAGCCCAGAGCAGCATCTGGGTCAGAGACGGACAGTGCCACTGGGGCCAGGTGTCAGCCCAGCATGCAGGTGACGCGTCCTCCCGACCCCAGCCCCGGGCCCCTCCCCACTAGGGATGGCAGCAGGTTAGTTTGCTCAGGGGGTCAGCCAGAGACCTCCCGCCAAGGGCCTTCCTGCCAAGCCTGGGGCTCCATCTACCACCTCCCGTCTTGTCCCTGCCAGGCTTCCTCCAGGAGCTGGAGCAGGAGATGGGCAGACACAAGGAGCGCAGACAGCAGGCAGCCCTGGCTGAGCACATTCTGAGGATGGAGACAAAGCCCGCCCTCACTGGCCTCCCCCTGCTGCCTGGGGGGCCCATGGCTAGGGACAGCAGTCTCTCTGTCACTCCCAAGCAAGGGACGGAGACATCCCCCAAGGCTGCCTCCTTGCCACAGGCCACCTCTGCCAGCAAGAAACCCTGCCCTCTGGTTTCCGGCCAGCAAAGCGCTGTCCCGGCAAAGAAGGGGACCCCCTCTGTGGCTGGGGCCTCTAGCACAACCAAAACTGTGACCAAAAGAATCCAGAAGTGAAGTGCAGCCCGTCCCTACCAGCAGTACCCCAGGCACAAGGACTGGGGAAGAACAGGGCATGGGGTAGGGCCTCCCCTCCTTCTCAGACCCCGCCCCTGTGGCAGGAGCCTACCCCAGTAAAATGTCTCCCAGCGCTGAGTATGTCTTTCATTTTTTTTTTAAGATTTTATTTATTTATTTATTTGACAGAAAGAGACACAGCGAGAGAGGGAACAGAAGCAGGGGGAGTGGGAGAGGGAGAAGCAGGCTTCCCGCCGAGCAGGGAGCCTGATGCGGGGCTCAATCCCAGGACCCTGGGATCATGACCTGAGCCAAAGGCAGACGCTTAATGACTGAGCCACCCAGGTGCCCCTGAGTATGTCTTTCATGTTGTTGGGGGGCATCTGAGGGGAAGCAAGCAGTCAAGGCAGTGGGAAGGAGTCACAGAAATACAGATCCCGACTCTAAAGAACACGTTTCTGGACCTTTCGGGAACTACCCAAAGAACTGGCCCACCTCAGGTCCCCACCTGGCTGCCTGGGCCCTGAGTGGGCCTCGCCTTGGGGAAGATGCCATCCTCCGGGGCACATCTCACTGCCACCCTTAGGGAGTGCCCTCCCAAGGTTCAAGCCAAGGACCAAAAACCCGTGGTTCTAATTCTCCCTAAATGGTAGCCCCATATTGTGCCAGGCGTGTTCTCTTGTTCACACCCGCTCACACACCTGGGGAGATCACCTCTGCTCACAGGCCCCTGCCACAAAGTTCTCCATCTAGTTCCCATCACCCAAGTGAGACGACTGCTGCCCAGCAAGACGACCAGAGGCCCTGTAGTCAGCTCAGGGCTGCCCTTTACCCTCACTTGGCTCTCCCATCCCCGCTAGACCTGGGATCATGTTCACTGAACAGCGAAATAACATACTTTATTAAGGCAAAGGCCGAGCTGGCCGCCCTGAACAAGGCTGAGGGGAGTGAAGGGCTTGTGCTGATCCTGCTGCGCCGGGGGTCCTGTGCCCGCCCCAGGCCAGGAGGCGCTGTGGCGCTCAGGCATACACCTGGCTCTCCCTCTCCACAAAGGCCTGGAAGAGGGTGCCCAGCTCCTGGGGCGGTGGGGCCCACTCCCCGGCCAGCAGTCCCCGCACAGCCTCCAGGCCTTCCTGCTCCAGATCCTGCTGCTTCTGCCGGAGCTGCTGCCCCCGATCCTGCCCAGGAAAGGTGGAGATGAGTCCCCAGGACAGGCTTCCCTCTGGATCCGGGGGAGATCCCTGCCATCTCCCACAAGCAGGCGAAAGGACAGGGTCCCCGACATTTTCCTGGGCAGCTGGCTTTGAAGGCAGAGACTCCTCTCCCCAACTCTAGAGTCTCTCCTCCACTCCCAGGCCCCCCTCATATTTCCAGAATCCCAACTGGGGGTGGGTGAAGTGAGTCATGCCCCCAGAGTAGCCCCTCGTCCCTGGGGGTACCTGCTCACTCTCCATCAGCCCCAGAGCCACCTGGTGTCCGCAGTAGAGGGTGTGCCGGCGATCCACCTGAGTCTGGAATCGGGGCTGGGTCCGAACAGGGTCCTGTGCTCCCAAAGTGGGGGACAGCACCTGGGGGGCCTGGGCCGCCCCTGCCCCGAAGATGAAAGGTTTGAACACGGACCTAATGGGACAGAGATGGAAGGAGCGAAGGTTATTACATCCCCCACCCGGCTCGCTCTCGCCTGCCTTCCCCACCCTCATTCCCCTCACCTGGATGGGTCTGGTGTGGCGGTGAGGAAGTGGACACAGGGCCGTGTGGGGTCCCGGGGCAGGATGGACACCATGCTGGCCGTGGTGCGAAAGCCTCCTGAGTCCATGCAGATGCCACTCTCCTTGTTCCTGAGGATGCCCATCATCACCTCTGCCGTGATGCCCCCTGCGAAGGAGGACAGGCTGAGGGGGGCCCCAGGGCAGAAGGGGGACCTCTGACCTTGGGTCAAAGCCGTGGGAGAGGAGAGGGGCTGGCACTGCCGAGGCCCTCCGGCCCCCAGCCCGCCACCATCCGCTCACTGACCTCTTTGCTGCCGCAGCAGCTCCCGCCCAGCCTGGAAGCGGGCTTTGGCAGCCTCCATGCGCACAGGCTGCTGGGTCAGGGAGAAGACCTGAGCGAAGTCAAAAGTGCCCTGCCCACCCCACCAGCCCTGGGCCAGGGCGTGGGTCCGCAGCTCCGAGTGTTCGGCCGAGATGTCCGTGCCAATGCTCAACTGGTTGGAGATGTTGCGGGCCCCCTCTGTGGAGGGGGCGGGGGGGAGGGGATGGCTCATTTCTCATGAAGCACCTGCTCTGTACCAGGTGCCAAGAACATGATGGTGAAGAGAATAGTCCTGCCCTCGTGGGAAGGGCGACAGACAAAAGGATCACAGAAATAAATGTGAACTTGCAGCTGTGGTGAGTGCAATGAAGAGGCACCTGCTTGCATATAAGGGGGGAACCTGACTGCCAGGGAGTCCAGGAAGGCTCCCCAGAGGAAGTGGCAGGCTAGAGCACAAGAGGACCTAAGCAAGTGAAGGGGGAAGCAAGGGTCCTGCCCTGCCCTGCTCCCATCCCACCCCCTCCCAAGGCTGGCAAAAGGGGACACCCCCGGGAGGCAAGCCCCGGTGCCAGGCCCTCACCCTGGATCCTCTGTGCGGCCCACAGCCTCCCCGCCGTCTCCAGTACCCACGCCTCAGTCCGGTCAGCCAGCAGGAAAGTGTTGTGGTAGCAGAATGGTGCGGGGTCCTCCCGGCAGCTGCCCCCTTGCCCGTAGCGCTCCAGCAAGCCCGTGATCACGTGCAAGGCCTCCAGGGCAGAGCGGCTCCGTTCTAAAGCCAGCCTGGCACGAAGAGAGGGGCAGGGACCAGAAGGGCAGTGACGTACCAGTGGCGGGTGACGGAAGCCTCAACGGAGAGACGCAGCCCAGAGAGGCCCCCGTCACGCAGTCTGCCGACAGCGGTCGTATGGAGCGCAGTTAGGCCAGCGGTTTCCAAGTTCTGCTCTGAGGGTCCCATGAAGAGGCCCGAAACATGGTCTCAGAGAGAGAAGCGCACCGAGTCCCCCAGGCTCCCTTGAACCAGAGCTGCTCTGATTTTACTGGCTTTATACATTGGGGCTCCGTATGAGATTCCATTTGGGAAAGAACAAAAAGCACTTCTATTGAAAAAAGAAATGGGAAACCACTGCCCTATTTCTGAGCCAGGAGAGGCCCAGAAGTGGTCACACTTGGAAGCTCCTTACCAGACTGGAGAGATGGGGCCCCGGGAGAGAAGAGGAGCAGGGGCAGCCTCTCTGGGGATGGCGAGGGGGACACAAAGATGGAGGCCCCTGTGACCCCGCTTGGGGGGGGAGGGGGATGGCCTGGGTCAGTACTCAGCAGCCAGACTTCCAGTGCGTAGCGATGAGGGAGGGCAGGGTCCCCACCTGAGCAGATCCATGCCCAGCAGGGCTTCCCCCTCGCCAACTGGCTCCTTGGTCCACACTGCCTCGTTGCCAATACAGACGCCATGCTCGTTGGCGCCCATCTCAGCCCCCCACAGCCAAGAAGGGCGGCTCAGGATCACAGCGTGAGTCTTTGACACCTGTTCCACCTCAATGTAGGTGCACTGCAGGTAAGGGGGGAGAAAGGGAGAGTCCACTCACAAAGGGTTCTGGTATTCCCATTTTGCAGAGGAGGAGGCTAAAAAGAGGCTAGGGCCAGGTTGGTAGACAAGAAGGTCATGCTCTTTCCAGCACCTGTGGCGCCTTTCCGGGCGTGAGGAGCAGAGGAGGACGGTCTTAGATGGATGCCTAGATCTGCCGGAGCTCCTGACACTTCCATAAGGCCTAACCCACCTGGAGCCGGCTCCCAGGGGCGTGAGTCCCTGCCGGTACAAACACCACCTCCTGCACTTCGTCCCGGGGCCGGTCAGAGTTCTTGGCAAAGATCACCGCGGGGATGGCCGAGGCCGGGGGTACCGAGACAAAGCAATCGCAGGAACACGGGGCATCGGGGTTCCACGAAGCCATCTGGGGAGAGGTGGAGATGAGTGCGTCCCCCTCGGGCCACCTCTCCACCATCCTGGCCAGGGCTCAGCCCCTGGGAGCCCCTCTCCCAACACGTGTCGACACTCGGAGGACACTGCCGTTGGATCCGGGTGCTCAGCACCGCACACACACTCCATGCGCGGCAGAGGCACCGGCTCTCGGCCCCCGGCTCCAGGCTCGGGGCTCAGCAGGCGGGCGCAGAGCGCACGCTCCCAGGGCCCTCCCGGGAGCCCGGCCCTCGGGTGCAGTCGCGGGACCCCCTCCCTCGCCACCCAGCCCCTCCAAGAGTCTCACGCCCCCCTTCCTCTCTTCCCCCCCTCCCCCGATACGGTGTGCCCCTCACCCTCTCTCCCTCCGAGATCCCCGGCTTGGTCCCGAGCGCCAACGCCTCCGCTTCGGGTCATTGGGCGGAGGCTCCCAGGTGACCTGGAAGGCTTTGGCCGGGGGGCGGAGCCGGAACCAAGCGCGTGCAGTTCTTCTGCTTTCCACCAGGGCGCGCGCCAGCACTGCTTCTTGGAGCGGAGCGGCCTCGGAAACCGTGCTAGGCTGCCCGTTCTGGCCGGCGCCGCTTTCAGTCCGGATAAAGGCTGAGACGAAGCCAGCGGCACTTCGGATGGGGTCATCGTGGGGAGCGGGAGCTGCGGGTGGAAAGAAGCCCACGTGAAAAGAGAGGAAAGGAAAACCGGGCAGATCTGTTAGAGAGCGCGGATTGCTGGGGCATCTGGAGGAAAAAACTCAGCCACTTGTGTCCTGGTTTGAATTACAAAGGTGCGACCTACCCCCAGCCCCCACCGGGGCGTAAGATCTGTCAGATTGTCACAGGGCAGGAGGTGTAGGGATAACTTAAGTTAATGCATTTTTTTTAAACGCACATATGCTCAAAAGCCACCTGACCCCCAAAAGATGGATTCCGCCCCACAGTGCTCAAACTTCTACCAAGATAGCTTTGAAAGGAAATTTGAAAATTTCTAGTCCAAAGATTTGGTGCCTTTACATATAGTGAAACTGAAACAGCAAAGAAGTCTTGGCCAAGGGGGCACATATTGATGTGTGGGTGGACTCTGATCCCAAATGTTCTGCTTTCCGGGTCATTCTCCTCTATTAAGCCTCTCCGTAACCAGCATTTAAGCAAATGCATCTCACTCCTTTTGCTCTGTGGAGACCTCCAGGAGTGGGGAGAGGAGAGATATTGCAGATTATCTACTTCTCCCACATCCATCCTGCCCATCAGTCAGGGCTGCTTCTCAGAGCTCTGGCCACAGCATCCCAGCCTGGGGTCACTCCTGGGATGGGACTGAGGCCAAGGTTTCCCCAGGAGGCAGGCTATGGGCACGTGCACCAGATAAGGCTGTTGGGGGATCTGAAATCTGAGATATTTCCTAATTGCCTATAGGTATCCAAGGCTGATTCTGAAGAGGAAGCTCTCCCCCAAGAAGATGGTCTTTACTTTCAGAAGGGGCACTACCACTTGCGGAGAAGAATTATCTAGAAGCTGGGCTGGAGGCAGGGAAGAGCATCACCTGAGACTCAGAACACTGGCATCTCATCTTCTGCAATGGATCTGGAGTGTCTCTTTGGGCAGGTCACTTTTCCTTTGAGGGCCTCAGTTTCCCCAGTGGCAAAATGACCACACTGAACTAGTTCTGTGATTCTCAAGCACAGGTGGAGAGTGGAGGGGAGGGATTCGTTTTCAACCACACAACTCCCACTGCACAACAGAATACTTTCATACTCTGTCCGTGGACTGCCAGCAACAGCATCACCTGGAAACTTGTTAAAAATGCAGAATCTGGGGCACCTGGGTGGCTCAGTTGGTTAAGAGGTCGACTCTGGATTTCCGCGCAGGTCCTAAGATTGAGCCCCGCGTTGAGCTCCGAGCTCAGTGGGGAGTCTGCTTCTCTCTCTCTCCCTCTGCCCCCCAAATAAATAAATAAATCTTTTTTAAAAAGATGCAGAATCTTGGGCCCCACCTCAGACCTACTGAATCAGAAGCTGCATGTTAACAACACCCCGCCGTGTAAAGTTTGAGAAGCGCTGTTCTAATACGCCCTCGAGGACATCACTTGGTGGGTGCTGGAGAGTTAATCGGGTGTCTTGAGAAACTCCATGGGTGACTCGAATACGCCCTCTACCGGGCGAAGACAGCCAGACTGTTCGATTCCCGAGATGCTTTCAAACCCGCGCTGCTAGGACGCGGAGCTGTCGAGCTCTCCAGAGCTCATGGAAAGTGAAGGCTGCTTCAGATGTGCTGTCGACGGGGAGGTGTCTTGAGGTTGCCGTCGGAGGTCATTCCAGAAGCAAACGTCAAGGCTGTGTGCTGATGAATGTGAGCACCCAGAGCGGCGGGCAGCCCAGCCGGCCCCCCTCCTGCACTTCCCCGGCCGCCCGAGGTGGGGCCGGGACTGGCCGGAGGAGCAGCGTGTGTCTGCGGGCCACAGCGCCGCCCCAGGCTGCAGTTCCCGGGCGGCCTGCGCCTCCGTCACTTTCCCATTCCTGATTTCACTCACCAACCCGGGAGAGGAGGTGGCCGCTCAGAGAGGTTGTCCAAAGGGTGAGCCCACATGGCCTGATTTCCCTAATTCCTCCCTGGCCCCTCCAGGGTCGTCCCAGCCTGGGAGCGCCAGATCTGAGGGGTCAGTGGTGGCCTTGGGCTCCCGGGGGGGGGGGTGTCAGGCCAGCCGAGCAGCATTGCTGCCAATGCGGGCCAGTGAGCAAACATCAGAGCCCCACCAAAGGCCCCCGCTAAGAATGCAGGTCAGCAGGAGGAGCTGCAAGGGGAGGAGGGGTGGCCCCAGCCCTGCCCAGACAGGCCCAGCCAGCCCCACAGCTGCCCTCCTGTCCCTGGGGGCAGCGATGGGCTACAGGAGGAAAGGGCTCCCCAGGTTCCTGGGGTCTAAGTTCCGCAGAACCAAGAAGACAAAAGAGGCGCCCCACAGAGTGGGGCCGGCAAGAGGTCACGGGAACACAGGCCTGCCCCTCCTCCTCCTTCTAAATCCAGGAGCAAGAGAAAGCAAAGAGCTACTCCCCCAAAACCAGTCTGCTTCCATCTGTAACCCCTAAATCAGGCTGCTACCCTCCCATCCCAAAGTGGCCTTAAACTTTGTGACCCCAGATTCTCCCAAACAGGTGATGCAATGAGCCAATGTGGGTACCAGATTTGGCTCCAGGCAACTGGGTTAGGGGTGGAGTGGGGGAAACAGGAATCCCACTAGGGAAGGTAATTGTGGCCAAAATGTAGGCTGGGAAGGTGAAAGAACACCCTTTTGGAGCCTGAAACTGCTCTGCTGTCAACCTGCCTAGCTTTGGCCTCTGGACTCATGAGATTTTTTTACTCATTTCACCTGCATCAGGCACCTGAGTAGCAGGCATTGGGCAGCCTGGGAGAGTATGTACAGATGGGCGTTTCTGCACATCCCAGGCCGCCCGGTGGGTCTGGTGAGGGTGCGTTGGTGCGCACTGGGTTTGTGTAACTGTGGCGAGCCCTCTAGCTGGGAGTTGCAGTAGGATCCTTCCCTCATACTTTCCAGCTGGGCCGGAGCCCATCAGATATCTTGGCTGCCTTTCATCGCCTCGTCCCTGATAGGATCATCCTGGGTGAAGAAATCGCTGTCAGTCACCCCCGCCTCGCTCACAGCCAGAGGGATCGATCACACCCCCACGGGGGCGGGGTGACCGAGCCGGGAGGCTGGTTCTCCGGGGCAAGGCAGGGAACCGGCATTCTTGGAAGGGGAGGGCAAAGAGGGGGCTTATATGTGCGGGAGGCAGGAAATATCTAGAACCTTCTCATCCCCAGGGAGGGACAGTTAGCCCAGCTATCAACCCTGAGGGAGCTCCTCTCTCCTCCGGCACCAGCCACCTCCTGGGGAAGGGTCTGACCCTTCCATCAGCTTGGCTCTGCCCCAAACAAAGGGAGGAGAGGTTGCAGCAGGGCTGCGGGATCAAAGGAAGTGTCCACCCCACCCTGCAGCCGGCCTGGTCCTCACTGCTGAGAGACACTGAGTCAAAAATGAAACAAGAGCTGGAAGACAAATGAAGCAATGATGTGGTTGATGACTTTATTATGGCATAAAAAACACAGGCTGTTTCTTCCTCCTCCTCCCCCCCCAAAGGGGGTTCACAGCAGTTAAAGGGAAAAAAAATCCTACATTTCTCCTCTAGGGGGCTGCCTACAAGGGGGTAGACAGCCAAGCAACCTAGATCTATAAAGGAGGGGAGCAGAAGAAAACCCATCCAAAGCCCTCACCCGCACCCTTAGAGCTCAAGGCCTCCATAGGGGGAACATCAGTGTCCCCCCCTGCCGCCCCAACACCCATTCGGGAGTTCCCCTTACAGTGGTCACTGGGGAAGGCTGTCCTGGTGGCACAGGGAGGGGGTGGCTGGTTTCGATGGGTGGAGGAGAAAGGCATCCCACACCCACAGGGCCCTCCCTCTCTCCCCCTGTCTCCACCTGGCCAGGCAACCTGCGGTACTGCCAACTCTCTCCTGCCCCCAACCCTCTCGACAAGGAAAGGGACCTCTGGTTGGCATAGCAAGAGGTAGGGAAAAGAGGGAGCAAAAAGAAAGAACATTACTTCTTAAACTACCCCAGGCCCATGGTCTCTCAGGGAGAGTCACCCTGTCCCTTCTAAGAAGGGCTCCCTTCTTTGCAAACGCATATTCCTAACCAGACCCCAGACCCACTTCCCATTTAGCTCCCAGTCCTGGGACTGGGCTCCAGCATCCCCAAGGGAGGGAGAGATGCTGTGGGCCTAAGCCCTAGGACTTTGGACGGGGTGAATAAGGTGGGGTCTCTCCAGCTGGAGACCCCAGGCTCAGTAGAGAAACACACACACATGCACACACAGGTACAAACAACATGCACACACACATGCCCTAATATTAAATAAAATACCTTTTGCTTATAACTTAAAAATCAATACACAACTAATCCTTGCATAGGGCTCTGGGTGGAGAAAGAGGGGCAAGGTCAAGGGAGGTCAGAGGGAATCTTAGGGCCTCTACCTCTAGCTTTGGAAAGGGTACTAGTTCCAGATCCTTACCCCTATCAGCTTCCTTCCCTTTGCCTGGCTCCACCCCTGTGAGGCTCTCCCCTCCCCAGTCCCCACCCCAAGATCAAAATCAGGATGTATCTCTAGCATCTAAAGAAGGGGACAAGGACAGCTTCCTGGACATCACCTCAGAAGGCAGACCCCTTCCAGTGGGAGAACACCTCCTTCATATGGAAGGGGAGTTCCCCTGCCCAGAATTGAGATGAGGAGAAAGGAGCCTCCTAACACATACTCTACAGGAGGGCCAAGGCTTGCAGGCAGCAGAGAAAGGGGAGGGGAGAGAAAAGAAAGAGTGGGCCTGAGCTTCTCAGTGAATAGAAGATGGCTGGGCAGAGGCAGAGTCCTCTTCTCTGAGTGGGGACCACTGGAGGTCCCTCTGCTGGGACACCCCACCTACTCCCCCAGGCAACCCAGGTAACCCTTTTCCTTCCATCCCTAAGGGGAAGGCAAATGATGGGGGCGGGGACCCAGGATGAGGAACTACATCAATTCTAGGGTGAGGGCCGGGGCTTCCGGTTGCCTTGAAAACCTAGATCAGGTAACAGAGGGGGAATGTGAACTATACTGAACTTTTTTTTTTTTCCCATAAAAACCATGAGTTAAGGACTGAATCCGAGTTAGAGAGGTAAGGGGTTAATTCCTTCCATTGCCCCACCAAATCCCTTTCTCTCATTTTGGAAGGGGACTTTCTGCCCTCCCCGTCCCAGTCTAGCTCCCTCCTGCACCCCACTGCTCTCGATTCTGGTCTCTTCCCCTCTTCCTTCATGGCTCCATCAGAGTGGGTTTGGAAGGGTTAATCAGGAGGCACATCAAAGGAGTTATTTCTACAGCAACAACCCTCCCAACCAGATAGAGACCCCTCCCTAAGGGGGGACCCCTGTCTCCCCTACCCCACCTCAGCTCTCCCTCGGGAAACCATAAGGATAGAAGCACTATAAGGGGGATGAAAGGGACCTGGGCCGCAGGGCGGGTCCGGAGGCACTTTTATGTCCCGGTTCCCAGGCGCTAAGGACGTGTCCGGACAGCTACCCCCAGCGCCCGCGGCGGCCCCACTCCTCTCTGCTCCGGGGACGCGCCGTCTCTTCCAGCAGGTCCCCTCCGCCCTCCAGCCGCGGTAGGGGTACCCCACCCCAACCCCCCAGCCCGGACACAGGAGCGAAGTAGTGAGGAAGGGGAGGACGGAGGGGCATGCGCAGCTCCTCCCAGCCCAGCCAAACACATCTCGTCCAGCCCCAGAGACTAAAGAAAACCCTAGCGCCCGGTACCCCTGACCCCGCACCACTTTTCCTCCCCCTCAATAAATAACCACCTTCTCCTCGGACTCAAGTCGCCCCCCAAGGGCGTCATGCCGGCGGGGGGGGGGGGGCGGGGGCGGGGAAATCTCCTCTGATGCCCCCAGGGGAGACCAGCGTGGGGGGCGGGACGGGAGCAGCTCAGTTGGAGGGAGCCGCGCCGCCCTCGGCCTCCCGCTTGCCTTTGCCCCCGGGGGGCTCCACCGCTCCGCCGGCCTTGCCCTCGCCCGGGGCCGCCCCTGCAGCCTCCTCTTTGGCGCCCTCGTGGGTTTTCATGTGTTTGGCCAGGTGGTCGCTGCGCATGAAGACGCGGCTGCAGACCGCACAGGGGAACTTCTTGGTGCCCGTGTGGGTCTGGAGGTGGCGCTGCAGCTCGTCGGAGCGCGTGAAGCGCTTGCCGCAGAAGAGCCAGTTGCACACGAAGGGGCGGTCGCCGCTGTGCCAGCGCAGGTGCGCCTTCAGGTGCGACGTCTTGGCGTAGGCTTTCCCGCAGCCCGGGATGTGGCAATTGTGCAAATGCTTCTTCTTGCCGCCGTCGGGCCCGCACGGAGCCCCCAGTCGCTCCGCCTCCAGGCAATTGGGGCAGCGGCAGACGGTCTGGCCGGAGCTGCGGGGCACTGAGCGCCGGGAGCCTTTGGGCCGGGCTGCCCCGTCCAGACTGGAATCCAGCCCCTGGGACTCGGGGGCGGCCGCTTCCAAGGCCTTAGCCCCGTCGGGAGGCCCCAGGAGGTGCTGCCCTCCCGCGGCCGGGAGGAGGTGGTGCGGGTGTGGGTGGGGCGGCGGGGCACAAAGCTGGTGGTCTCCGACGTAGCCCCCCAAGCCAGCCTGCAGCGCCCCGGGGTGGCCGGGTGAGGTCAGCGCGCCCTGAGTGTGGGGGAGGTCCATCCAGCTGGCGCCCGGATGAAGGTCCCACCACGAGCCATCCTCAGTGCCTGGGTGAGTTGGCCGGAACCACGATTCGTAATGGTGTGACATGTCCGGCTGCAGGAGCTTGGAAAAGGGTCCCGGGGCCAAGGGACTGTCGCTTTCCAGGTCCTCGCAGGTTACCCGAGAGGAGGCCCCCGGGAGCTCATAGCCCTGTGAGAAGTCCACCTCAGGGCCCAGCGGGAGGCTCTGCAGCTCTCCAGGCTGCAGCGGGGAGGGGTAGTCCCCGGCCTCCGGGCTCGTGTGGCCCTGGTATGTTTGGAGAGGCTGCAGGTCGAGGCGCGGCGGGGAGGCGTGGGGCGCGTCCGTGTGCTGGCTGCCCAGAGAGCCGCAGACAGCGGTTAGCATTGCCGGGATCCGGGGTGGGGTGAGGAACAGGGATGGTCAGGGGCACCTCAGGTGGGACCTAAAGGAGGCAAAGAAGAGGTGAAGTGAGTAAAGTAACCAACTCACTTTTAGTCCTGACCCAGATCCCCTCGAAGTGCTCCTCTGCGGCTGGACAGCAGGTGAAAAAGAGGAACACACCTCTGAGTGGAGACTAAAGACCAGTAAACAGAATTTGGAAGTGCTAGGAAGGGTTGAGAGTGTGAGGGTCTCAGCCAAGGGGGGAAGTTGACCTTCTGCTAGCTGATCCCTCCTACCCGACCCAGCTCATCCTGAGAGTTGGGCTGGTCCCAGGCTGGTGGGTCAGATGCACCTACAGTACAGTGCTAGAACCATCCCCACCCCGGGTGCCCAGGCCAGCACAAAGAGCGGTGGCATTTACCCCCTGCAGACCGGCCGCCACCCCCAGTGGAGAGGGCCTAGACCCAACTCTGCTTCCCTAGTTTAACTCAGGACACAGATGAGGAGAGGGTGGTGGTCTGTTTCTGGAACTCAAAGCTTGAGGTGACTTGACTTTCCAAAGCCCAAAGCAAGTTCTGAGATATTGGAGAAAGAGACCTCATTCCATCCCTGAGGCATGTTCAGTGAGGAAGAGCATTTCACTGTTCTGTACCATTCACCTCAGCTCTCTGCCTGCCCGGCTTGCCAGGGCCCCACCAAACCCATGCCTGGCCCCCACCCCTTCCCCTCAGGCAGGGACTTCACCTTCCTGGGGGGCAGCCACAGTGCCAGTTCCCAGAGAAAGTTAAGCCTCCTCTCCTGTTCTGACCCACACAGGCGCCAGCCGGCTGTCTGGAGGCTACCCATGCCCTCCTCCAATCTAGGGGAGACTCAGATGTGAAGCTGAGAGGAGGTCAGCTTCCCCCGAGAAGGGGGCCAGCCAGAGAAGAGCTTACTAACCAGCTCAGGAAGGTAAAATTGTCACCCCGTTAAAGGATACAGAGTGAAAGTGGGGACAGCGAAGGGCAACAAGAAAAACCAGAATCACAGAAACTACGAATTACCCCAAGAGATTATAGAAAGGGGTGCATTCTAGGCATGGATCATTTTTAGGAGTTCTGCAGATGGTTCCCATATGCAGCCAAGTGTTGAGAACCACTGCTTCAGGCCAACCCTCTGATTTTAAAAAAGAAACAGAGGCAGTATTCGGAGAAGTGACTTGAACAGACATTCATTTACTTGTTCAATCAACCGATATGGACTGTATGTACCTCTGTGAACCAGGTCTCTGGACTCCCCGTCTGTTACCCTTTCCCTAAACTGTCAGCAACCTAAAGACATCCACCCCGTTCTTAACCACATTATCTTTCCCTGCCCCGGTACTTCAAGTGCAGAGTTTGTGTGCCTGGCCTCCTCTGATGGTGGGGGAGGAGGTGCGGTGGGTTAGGCCAGGGGCTTCTTCCCACAGCAGGGCTGACCCTACCACCTTTGGCCCTGGTAGTTTGGGGGGGAGGGGAACTGGGGCGCCTACTCAGGCTCCGGCTGCCTTACCACAAGAAAGGAACAGGGTGAAGCAGCAGGAATGGAGCCTCAGGCCCAGGCGGGGCGGCCCAGAAGGGGCTGGGCGGGAGCAGCGAGGCCTGGGACCCTAATAGCTTTTAGTGTCTGGGAACTGCCCCAGGGACTAGGGGGTGGGGACGCTAACGACCCAGGCTCCAGAGTGGCCTCTCCCGACGCAGAGCCAGGGAGTCCAGCCCTGGGATGCAATGGCCTGCCTGCAAGTTTTCGGGACAGCTGGACACACACTCTCGGCTTCCCGCTCCCCAACGCAGGAAGCCGGGTAGAGACACCCTTCTAACCCCCTTCCGCCGTCTCCCTCTCCCGATCACCGGCGCTCAGGTGGTCAGGACTTCCGTACTCCCAGTCCTCAAGGTTCCAGTCCTCCGGTTGTCCCAGTCGCTCCAGTTTCCCCGGTTTTCAGCCTCCTCGGTCCCTCGTCTCGCCCTTCCGCCCAGTTGTCGCTCGGCCGGGACTCTAAGCCCCTCGGATTCTTTAGAACCACCTCCCCCAAGGCCACCGGAGGCTGCGGCGAGTTCGGGGCGCCGAGAGGATCTTTCCGAGAGGATCCCCGGAGCGCGCACCCCTCGCCGCCCCGACCCTGGCTCCTACCTCGAGGCTGCGCTCGGGCTCCGGGCACCGCAGGCTGGCGCGCTACCGACGGGCGCTCATGGGCCCTGCGCGCCGGCGGGCTCTCCAGCGGCGAGGGGCAGGAGCCGAAGACGAGCGCGGGCCGCGACCAGACCCGGCTGCGGGCGTCGGAGGAGGGGCGGAGGGCCGGCGGGAGGGCGGAGGGCGGGCGGGAGCCAGGGAGCGAGCGAGCGAGGGAGCGAGCGAGCGAGCGAGGCCAGCTCCGCCCGTGACTCACCCGCGCTCTCTGCCTTCATCCTCTGCCCTGCGCTCCTTTTTCCCCGAGTCCGCGGCCCCGCCCACCTCACCTGCCGCCGCCTTTAACCCTTGCGGGCTCGGCCGGACGGGAGGCCCGCGCGGCCGGGCCGGCGGAGAGGGGGCGGGCTCGCTAACTAGGTCGCCTCCCGCCCCTCCCTCGCCCCTCCCCGGCCCCTCCGCTCCTCGGGCGGGGGTCCTGGGCGGAGCGTTTCCCAGGCTCCGAGACCCGCCCCTCGGGTGCAAAACTGCCCCGGAGCCAGCTGAGTCTGCCGGGGGACGCGGGACTCAGACCCTGGGGGCCTGGAGAAGGGGGCGCGTCCTCGGGGCGATTAGGAGCGTCCCTTGGGCGGCGATTGCTTCCTCCGCGCTCGAGCCACCCGCCCGGCCGCGCGGCGCTGCCCCGGGTACCGAGAGGAAAGGGAAACAGGACTGAGCGCCAAGGATGTGTCCGGTCTACCCCAGGCCTAGGCCGTGAGAACTTTGGGCTGCCGCCCTCTTTCACCATTCGCCCCGCGCCGCTTCTCTCCGCCACCACCATCCTCCCCCGGCCTTTTCGCCCCGGCTTTCTGCCTCTTCCTCTCCGGTCACTCGCCTTTTTCGGGTGGCCTCCTCTTCTCCTCTGCCCACTCCCCTGCTCCTCCACTTGCCCTGTTTCCCCCTGCCTGCCCCTGTTCGTCTCCCAGGCCCCCTTCAGGTCTCACTCCCCATCTCCCCTTGGGCAGCAACCCCAGCGCGTCCTAAGTCCATCTTTCAAATACGCGACCCCCTCGGTCCGGGAGCTGCTCAGCCTCCGTACGCCCTCCACCTTTGCCCCCGTCCTGCGCACCCGGCTCTGAAAGTTGGGGCAGGCGCCAGAATGGCCCTGGGAAGGGACACTTCTGGAAAGAATTGATCGACCCATTGGCCACGATTCTCACCTGAATGTCTAAACCCAAGGTTCTGAAGTTTGGGGAAGAATCTGGGATTCCTTTAAGGAAAACAAATGCACATACACAATGCACCATTCTGGCAAAATTTCAGGGCGCTCACGGCGTCCACCGAAAAACCTCTCTCCAGGTCCCAGTTGGTGGAGATAGCAAGCGCGGGTGGCGAGAGGAGCTCCTCCTCCTCCTCGCCCGCCTGGCCTGTGCACCCGGGGAGTCCGATGCTCCCTTCCCGATCAGTGCCTCCTCCCCGCCGCGCTGACCTCCCGAAGTGACTCCTTTCTTGCAGGGGAATTCTGATCGATTTCCATATTTTTTTTTTCTTTGCGCTGTTTGGCTTTCCCTACGCGCTCTGCCATCGGCTTTTTAAATTTCGTTTTTTGTCTTGACAGTCTATCACGCACAGCAGGACCAGAATTAAGGATGATTCAATCTCACCTCTATAGCCTCGATTTCCATCACCATCGCTCTACACGGCTCGAATTTCCGTTGGGGACGTTCTCGAAGTGCCACTACAAAACGACTAAACTGAATCCACAAGCCCCTTGAAAAGCAGCCTTTGCCTGCATAGTTCCCCACCACCACCACCAAACACACACGGTCTTATATCCAGAGTCAATGTCTGATTCGTCGGTTTGTCTCCCTCTGTTCTAAGACTCAATTTCTTCATCTGGGCCACCTGAGTTCAAGTTGGGAGACTTTCCCGGGGCTTAAAGTAATTGCTGTACCTAAAATACTTAGCCCCTGGATCCCCCGGTAAGCTCACAGTAAAGGGAAGATGTTGTTATAATCATTAAATAAGTGGGGTTCCCAGCAAATGTTTATTGGATTAAGGTATATTCACAAGATCTTTGGACTGGAAGTTGGTGGACCTAAATTCTCGCCCCGGCCCTGGACTTGCTAAGCTGATCTGGTGGGTCAGGTTGCTCTGAGCCTCAGTTTCCCCCTGGGTTAGAATGCAGTTAGAGCAGCTGCCCTGCAGGGTAAAAGACAGGCGCTTGGGAAGCCTGGAGGAGCTGTGGCAATGTCCGGGATTGTACTTTCTGATCAGTGGCATTTCCTTCTTCCGGACACTCAGACCCCAGCGATGTAGGTTCTCAAGCACTGCTCTGGATCTTTGTGGCCACTGCCACATTGACAGCTCTCTATCGACATGGTTTTATCTCTGTTCACAGCCACATCCAGAACAGAGCCTGTGACTCAGGCCCCTGTGTTAAGTCTGATTTGACCCATAGGCATTCTCTGCCTCCTTCCTCCCTGCAGCCCACTGGCCTCTGGCTATTCCTGAAGCTACTGCTCTTAAGGGATCTAAGCAGGGATCTGAGTCCCCCCCATCCCATTTTTTTTTTCTAGGCACCAGATTATCTTATCTTCCTGGCTCCTTCTGCTCTTTCCTTGGAAAGCAACAGGGAAAGGGGTCCAGGCCCCGGATGGTAGACTTCCCACCCCGCTTTTATCCCAGGTCCCCTTCAACCCCACCCAGCCCTGACTGGCAGCCACCTAGGGTTCCCAGGAGCAAAGACCCTCCATCTGCCTGTGGTGCCTAATACAGTTGTCTCAGAAAACCCAGCCATCCTGCTTTCCTGTCGTGCCTAGCATTCTGCCTCTGACTCAGGGTGCTATCTTTCTTCCAGGTCCCCCTCTACTTGCCTTCTTCTGATTCCAGTCCTTTCCAATTTTCCACTTGCCAGATGGTTTCCTACTAAACAGTGCC